TGTTTTGTGCTCCGGGGAAACCCCGAAATTCCGGGAATTTTGAACTTCGATACCCGGAAACTCCGGGGATCGTCGTTCAAAAGGAAGTAGGAATAATAATGAATTATTTATTTTGATCTGGGTAATTTTGTTTGCTTTGAAAGCAGAAAACGCAAGGTCAGTGTGTGTGGTGAAAACTTTTCCTTTCTTTCTCCAAAGGCAGTGATAATGCGTGAAAAGGGGGGAAAGACTTCTTTTTTGTTCTTTCCTTATTGCGAGTTATGACTCATTCCCCCGGTTCTTGGACATTCTCTTCTGGATTCTTTTCGGCAAGTAGGCGCGGCAGAAAAAAAAGGAGAGACTTCGTTCGACAAGATGTGCGATCAGTTCAAATGTCTTATCTCTCCTGGTGTGGCGCCAATAAGTAGAGGAGGGGGATTTTTCGCCGTATTAGCTATTTGTCATTGATCGCTTCTCAACTTTTTTTTCTCCACTGTGTAAAATTTTCGTTTCATTTATTGATGCACGTGTAAATTTTTTGTTTCGTTTATTGAAATATTTTTTTTATTTATGTATGCAAGAGAATTTCACTATGAAATTTCTCGATATAAATGGTGATATTATACAATTAGAAGAAGGTGTCCGGAATGCATTTAGGTGGAATTGGATTGAAGGGAGAGATGGTAATGGGGATACCATCGGCACATGGTGCAAGAAAATAAATGTTGCTGGACAAGCATTTTGTGGTTTTTGTAACTCACTGCTGAAGTATGGTGGGGAAGGATTCAAGGCTTTCACAAATCATTCTAAAACTGTGACGCACATAAAATATTCAAAGTGCATTAGACGTTCAATGACTAAGTAATTATGCTAATTCAAAAAATACTGATGACTTACTGGAGACTGATGCTCGGCCATTGGATATAGTGACAAGAAAAGCACGTCAAGAGGTATTAATAACTTCGTTTATCGCCGAGAATTCCCTTTCTTTCAATGTAGCTCCCAATTTAATTGAACTCTGCAAACAGTTGAGCCACGATCAGATGGCACTAAACTCGTTGGAAATGTCCAGGACTACTGCATGTTATAAGATGAAATATGGGCTTACAAAAACCATTAAGGAAAATATCATTAAAACTTTAAAGGAGACTCCATTTTCTCTAAATTTGGATGAAAGTACTAGCAATGCTCAAGGAAGTATACTGGCAATATTGGTGCAGTTTTATGACAAAAATCAAAATGAAGTTGTAGTTCATCATTTTGCATCTCTAAAGTTGGAATCTTGCAATTCAGAAGCTGTTTTTAAAGCAGTTGTTAATACTATTGAAGATAATAATATTCCATGGGCAAACTTAGTGTATTAATGGACTCATGTAACACCATGCATGAAGAAAAAGGGTGTTGAAACCAGACTACGATCAAACAAAGCACCTCACTTATTAGATATTGATGGTGACACATGTCACACAGCTAATAACTGTACAAAAAAAATTTGCTTCATGTTTTGATAGATACTTAGAAGATTTTGTTTGATGACATCTATTTTGATATGAAAAGCTGCAGTAAAAGAGAAAATTTTTCCAAAATCTGTGAATCCCTTGCCATTAAAAAACTTAAGCCCTTGAAGAGACCAGACCATAGGTGGGTGTACATTTTATGTGTTTTAGAAAGAATCAAAGATCTGTGGGATGCTCTTATTGCATTTTATTTTCACTACTTGTATAAAGCTGATAAAGGGGATTATTTTTCTTATGTTGAAACTGTATACAATAAAAGAAATATTTCTGCAGCTCAGAAAAAAATTGTTGGGGTTTATTCTTGCTTGCATTCCCAACAACTCGCAAAGGATGCTTTAGCTCGGAAAAAAAGAATACTAAATGAGTTATTTGTTATGCAAAACAAAACTTTATTGCATATGGCATTATATTCAGCAGTATTACCAGAGTTCAACACATATATTAAATTATTTGAAATAAAATAAAATAAAAAAAAAAAAAAAAACCAATGCTTCATTTAATACATTCTAGTATTTATAAATTGATGGCAAAATTTTTCTCTTTTTTATGAAGCCAGAAAATATAGGGTGCACATCTTATAATGATTTATTAAAGGTTGATGTCACAAATCCAGAATTCCATCTACCTAGCAAAGTAATATTTACTGGTGCAGAAGCTTCCACTCTCCTGAAGAAATTATCAAAAAATCATCCAATAGCAAAAGAATTCCAAATTTCTCTGATGAAAGCTTATACTAATACAGCACAGCATATGAAACAGAAATTACCCCTTAAAAATTCATATCTAATTCCATAAAAGAAACCATAAAAGAAAGGCAAGCCCACAAACATCAGAAAATAATAATAAAAAAAAAAAGCAGCAGAAATTAGATAATTTTTTTTAAAGAATTAATTCAGGTAATTTAAAATATTTACATAAAATGTAGTAGTTTATATGTTTCAAAATTTATGGTTATTAATTTTGCAAAAAAAGTAATTCATTGAACTTTTATAATTAGGTCATTCAATACTTCATAATTGTAATTTTTCATTTCTCTATCCCCCCTTCTCGAAACTCCAAAATGTCGGTAGTAAGTCTGTAAAAGTTTCAGGGGATTTTTTTGGGGTCCCACAAACACCCCTGTTTAATGAAACTGAATAGCACACGTAATTCATAACATGGACTATATAATTTAATGAATAGTGTTTGTTATTATTACCCACTCTTTATTGCTATCATTTGAATGGAATTTTGATTATTAAATTCATGCTATTTCTCTGGTAGAAATTCCTAGATAAGGTATGAATGTTTATAATTTTGTTGTACACTGGTGTAAGAAATTAAGAGAATTTTCATATTTGACCTACGATCTCCAGAACTATTGGTCAGATTTTAATAAAATTTGGTGTGAACATAGGTTGATGTAATGCAAACAAAATAAACATTCAACAGTTATAATAGACAGACATGTTTGTGTGTAACACTCATGGGAGTCTGAAGGTCTGAAACAGTGGCTGCAGAAGACACAAAAGAAATGGGTTAACAGGAGGTATGGTCCCCTCGTATAGCCATACAAGCCTTGTAGCATGATGTCATACTGGAAATGAGGCAGTTTATCAGTGCCTGTGGTCCCACTCATTCAGCAACGCTGTTTTCAGTTTCTGGATGGTTCTCAGAAGGGGGTTGCGAGTTCCAGTTGCCCTCCCCAAACCGTCCCAGACATGTTGTATAGGGTTGAGGTGTGGACGCGTGGCTGGCCAATCCATCCGGCGAATATCCTCAGTCTCAAGAAATTCGTCGACCAGAAGAGCTCTATGTGGCCTCACGTTATTGTCCTATAAGATGAACTCGGGGCCTACTGCACCCTGGAAAAGCTGAACATAGGGCTCCAAGACCTTATCCCTATAAGCGTGTCCCTGGCTCTCTCCATATGAAAGTACACGAGAATCGGTGTTTAGGCTAAAACGGGACTTGTCGGTGAATAGAACGGTCGCCCATTGCTCCGTGCTCCAATCACTGTGCTGCCTGCACCATGCTAATTGGACTCTCCTGTCCGTAGATGCAAGCGAGACTCAAACAGTCAGTCTTTTGGCGAACAACCCTCTCTCGTTCAGTCTTTTGGAAAAAGTCACCCTTGTTACATGGGTTCCTGTGGCTGCATACAGGTCCCGAGAAAGCTGAGAAGCTGTAGCCCCTCTGTTACGCCTTGCTAAAATGGACAAAAGCAATCTTCTCTGTCCCTCGTGGCCCTTGGATGACCTTGCCCAGACTTTCTCTTGATGGATCCAGTATCTTGGTACTGTTTCCATAAGTTACACACGACGCTGGGCGGTAAACTCTCTGCATATCTGGACTTGCAATTAGCCTGCCTATATGCTTCCCACAATTCGCCACCTCATTTCTTCGTGTAAACGTTAATAATTACTCATTTTTACTGTTCCAATGTGAATTTAACTGATTGCTGCAAGATAACACCGAGAAATTCGTCGAGGTGTGCTAGCGAACGCAATTCGTCTTACCCTCCACGTGCTTATAAAGCCTGTTTTTCTGCTGGCTCCGCCTACACACACATGTACGTTTATGTATTTGCTGTACAAGATTTGCATTTTTATCTAGAAGCAGTTGTTTTTCCTTTAGTTCAGTTCTTTTCATGTAATTCGATAAAATATGAAAATTCTCTTAATTTATTTCACCACTGTATTTGAAGACTTGGGTACTTAATTGTTGATGTGAAATTATTTTTGAGGTATTGGTTGTAAATAGAATTGACAGCATATGTTGAAATTAAACTCTTTTTGGTGCTTTAATATGCATGTCTGCCAGTGAGTGAAGAATTCTCATAATCTGTCAGCAAATGAAAAATCATTAAAAGTAATTACTTCTGACAATCAACATAAATGAAACCTTCATCTATGACATCTGACAGCACAGTAGAGTTTAATTTGAATTATTCATATGATGTAAATTTACCAGTTTCCAGAAATATCCACAAAAATTCCTGAAAGTTAGTGTTTACTATATACTGTAGTCGCTCGAGTGTAACCCCCCTTTTTTTCAGAAAAAGCATATGAAATTCAGGGTTGCGGCTTATACATGCAAATTATTAGAAATAGATGTATACAAACAGCTGGCAACACAGCAAAATTTATTTAATTATTGAGCATAAAATACATTGTTGGGTGAACGTTTCATAGTATTGTACTACAAGGGGTGATCAAATGAAAAGGTATGAAACGACATAAAAACGTAACAGTTAAATATTTGCATATTCCGCCATGGGAGAACGTAGCGAGACATCTCGGGATGCAATTGGAGTCTCTGACTAGGATCAGAGAATGCGCGGGTGCCTGCATGCGCAGGAGAGAGCAGAGGCTCTTATCAATAGCGCCGTCCAAATGATGCGGCAGTCCGTATGAGGACAGAATGGCGTTCACGTTGCAAAATTCGACGACTGAGGACTAGCGAGGTGTTATCCGATTTCTGACCGCAGAAGGTGAGAAACCGGCAGCTATTCATTGCCAGATGATGACATTTTATGGGGAGAAATGGGTTTCTGACAATTCTGTCAATAAATGGAGTGCCCGTTTTCGTGCAGGGCGGGAGAGTGTGGGTGATGACCTGACACCAGGCCAGGCAAACGCTGTCACAACAAGCGATCTCATCAACAAGGTGGACGACCTTGTGAGAAGTGATTGGCGTGTCACATTGCGAATGTTGGCGGTAAAGGTGGATGTCAGCTATGGAACCGTGTCAGCAATTGTTCACAACAGGTTGCGATATTGGAAGGTGTGTGCCGCTTGGGTTCTGAAGCAGCTCACCGACCAGCAAAAGGAACTGCGTGTGGGACCTAGCACTGCAACATCTGTTTCGGTATCAGAAAGACCCCGCTTTCATGGAGCGGATCGTCACGAGCCAGAGACAAAGTGGGACAGCATGCAGTGGAACCATGCGTCGTCACGTCCCCTAAAAAGTTTAAAGCCGTGCCGTCAGCAGGCGGCAAGGTGTTGCTCACCGTCTTTTTCGACGTTCAAGGTACGCTACTTGTGGCATTCCTCGAGCACAGAAAGACCATTAACTCCGATGTGTACTGTGAGACACTGCGACGCCTACGCAGGTCTATCAAGAACAAAAGACCGGGGCTGCTCACGGAGGGTGTGGTTCTGCTCCATGACAACGCGCGTCCACACGTCTCCAGAGTCGCACACATGGAACTGGCCAAGTTAAGTGGGAGACGTTGGACCATCTGCCCTACAATCCGGACATGTGGTCCTGCGATTTCCATGTGTTTGGTCCACTGAAGAAACAGCTGAAAGGGAAGCACTTCAACTTGGACGACGTACTCAAGGATGCTGTGAAGAACTGGGTCTCGTCACGGTCACAAGAATTCTGGGAACAAGGAATACTGCAGCTTGTTCATCAGTGGGATCGTTGTGCTCAGGCCTATGGTGCATATTTTGAATAAAGTGTACATTTGTACCCACTGTGTCGTTTTGTACCTTTTCATTTGATCACCCCTTATAGTTGTGGTTGCTGGTGATGGTGACAAGTTGTGGGATACTAGTACTAATGATAATTGATACTGGTAGTGCAGCCAACTACTGTAGTGATTGACAGTGACAGTGAATAAGGAATGCTAAGCACAGAAACATGTTCCTTTTGATCGAAAATTAAAAAAAAAAAAAAAAAAATTAAGGTAAGTACTGTTTTCTGCTTAACTGCTTTCACACCTGCAAAATGGAAAAAATATTATATACAGGCTATCTGTCACTCCTAAGAGAAATTATATATAAAAATTGAAGAAGGCTATATATATATAAATATGCACGTGCATGTTGATAGTAGAGAGTACTACAGTACAATGCAGAAAGGTTCCATACTGGTTTGCATAGAAATATGTGCCAACCAAGTATTGATCTTTCCAAGAAAGTATATCTCGAAACCATTTCGTTTGTTTTCTTTTTGTACCTTCTTCTGTTGCCTCTTTTCTTACAAGAAGGGCAGATAAAAGAGCATTCTGTTGAACCAGTAAAACTTTGTGATGAGCTGAAAAAGCCATGATACAAAATAACGAAAACAAGCAGAGCGATCATGGGAAATTAATCGAACTAGAAAACAGCGCACGAAAGGTGTAGACACATCCATGCATGTGCAAATTTAGTTTCTTTCATTGGCCACAGGTTAGACCCCCGTCTTGCAGGTGTGAGGGTCTCGTATTTTATGCCCTTATGACTATGCCTCTATGTTCTTTTTGCCACCGTCTGAATGCAGCTTAATAGACTATAAGGCTAGGTCTAGTCGGTTATAAACTGGAATTTGTATGGTATGCACATCAGGCATTTTGCAAGGTTTAAGCCAAAATAAAAATAAAAATTCAGATAAAGAAAATGAAATACAACTAATAAATAGAAAATAAAATTGTAAAATGAGCTATAAATTGTAAATGAGCTCATCTGTGATCTGGAGAATGAAAATCTATGTATTCCATAACTTCTGGTTTAGAAATCTTGAGGGATGGCAAATCATCAAAAATGAAAGTACTTATGAACTTTTTAAAAAACTGATTTTGTGAATTCCTGGAGTTACCACTGTTGAAACCAGTGTGCTATCTCTTGTTCTTTGTTGTCCATATCGCAATAAGTTTTCTCTCTGCATTTAATAAGAGCTTTGACCTGTTCAGGACCAAAAACACGTAGGTACGACACAACGATTCCACGCTTACCAGCCCAGCGTCGCTTATACGTGAAAAGCTCTGATCAATCTCTTCATTTCTGCATTGCATAAATGTAACTTGATAATGAAACAATTTTTTAAAAAATTTTTAAATGCCTGTAGATAGTGCTAAATAGTAACAGTTTTTCCATCAAGTCGTGTCTTTTGACCTTCATGTATGAGTATCAGTGTCTGTTGCTGTGCTTCTTGTTTTGATAGATTTATTGGTGTAAACAAATCCGGAATCGCAGCTCTTTAAGTTAAAGGGACAACAGCATATTTGTTTATTTCATTAGGAATTCCGTTTTTATGTTGTCTTCATTTTTCTTCTTTGCGTTTTTTTTTTTTTTGGTTTTTTCTTTTCTCTTTTTTTTTTTTTTTTTTTGTTTATTAAAATGTGCGAAAGTGCATCCAGTTCAATGTTTTTTGTTTTAGGAGAATTTGAGAAAACACATCTAGTTGACTATAGCGGGTGTAATGTCGCTGAACTTCGTGATGGAAAAACTCAGATCAGTTGCCCCTTTTTATATTTATTTTAAAACTTTTCATAGACTTTTTTGGTTAAATCAAAAGTAACTTTACAGCATCATTATAGAAGGGGAAAGACGCCAGCTTTCTCAATGCGTGATGTATCTTACTTGGTCGGCGAAAAAAAGCAGTCATTATCTTGTCTGTCGATCCTCGTTTTCGATTCTGACATGCTCAGCGGAATTATTAAACTGGAATTTATTTACCTACAGATAATTATTGCTTAATTTTCTTTTACTTTTCGTATTCATAGTTTTGGTTTTCATGTGTAGAATATTTGTTTTCGTGCATACAGATATAATTTTAGTATTCCGCATATTTCATTTATTTCTATTAATGTGATATTCTTTATATTAGTACATATTAAGAATTGGTATGTTAAGTACGTAATGCTGATTTTGTATGAATTTTTTTCTCTAAAAGTAGGCTTAACTGCTGAAAATGCACGGGCCAGTGTCGATGTTTCCTTTTTTTTGGGGGGGGTTTGGTCCCATGGCTGCGCTTTATTCTCCATGCGCTGGTCCTCAAGGGGTTAATCAGACGTAATGAACAACAAAAAATTATCTTTGTTTCAAGACTTCAAATATGCATACTACTCCTCAACACCTGGTCTCTGCGCTTCTCCAAAATCCTCTTCTTAGGGTTGCCATATTTATTGGCAGCAACATGTGTAAAAGGGTGTTTTCTTTACCACTATCACTGCTTATAAGCTGCCTCAGCAGGTACCCTACAGACCTAAATTTTTAACTTTTAAGCACATACATCAATTCAAAATTACAGCATTCAAATAGTAATAATTTTATATAAACAGAATGTGATTTGTTTTTGCCTTGTGTTTTCAGTGTCTGAAAACTTTGTTTTTGTTTGTTTGACCTGTGTTCATTTCTGGGCAAATGGGCTGGCTGAATGAGCACTTTATCCTTATGTGTAATGTAGCTAGAAGCCAGTTTTCCATAGAAATTCTTTTACAAAGGCCTCCTTCTTAGACAGATAGCCCTTGCATGCTTTGCTGCAATCAGATAAACCAAACCAGTATATCCTGTTTTCATTGTTTGACAAATGAGAAATGCCAATTTGCATCTGATGTCTTTAATGTTTAATAACTGATTATTGATTGTCTGATAGCAGTGTGTTAAAATGCAGAAACTGAATTTCTATGCCTTTACTAGATATGTGTATTGGAGTTTCATTACATGCTGCTCTTAACTAGTGCAGATTAAAGAAAATGTGCTTGTCTTGACTTGTGTAGTTTTTGAAGTATACTGTCTCAAATACTCTGAACATCTGACATAGAACTACTTTTAGAAATATATGTTGTAATTTTATCCCTAAAAGCAAGAAATGCATTTTTAAAGATTGAAATGTCTCTTGCAAACATGTTCCAAACATAGTACAATATTCATATAAATGTAAAGCACAGCATGCAAGTGATCAGCACTGCTCTATTATATAATCATAAAAAAATAAAATTTTTGTAGGGGATACTGTCCTGCAACAAAATTTTAATTATTAATGTATGGGTTCCGATTTTAGTGTTTTGCGTATTTTATTTAAATATATGAGGTTGAAGTAACTTCTATTTAATGCACATGAGTTTGACAATCATGCATATTTGATGAAAGCATACAATATTTAGAGTGAATATTGAATTCACGTTACATTGTTAAGTTTTGCATTTGTCAGTAATCTATCGAAGTCCTTATCCAGCCTTTATTTTTGCAATTATTGGTCAAAGACATTTACTTTTAGTGCTGGAATCACTTAAAATGACACAAATATTCATGTTTAATAATTCTTAAATAAAAAAAGATATCAGTGGAAAATATGAAATCTAAATTTTAGACAGTACCCCATCCCAGTAGTTAATTTTGATAAAAGTTTATACTTATTCCAAATTAAAAGAAATACAAAATATTTGACTTCCATATGAGAAAAACCAAGTTGCTTAAAGTTTGAGATCATGGTCAGGAAAATGAAGAGTGAAATATTTAAATTCTTGTATAACTAGGTATGAAATATCAGTTTAGATTCTGGTTTTTGGTGCTAATAGATTAAATGAAGAGCATTATTATGCAAAGTGTGATTAAATGTTTTTATCAATAAAAATTGTTTCAAAAGATGTTATTCACAGAATTCATATTCTAGGAAAGAGTAGCAGGTTTCAAGTATTAGTACAAAGCCAACTAATGATATTATTTATGCAAATTAGGAATTGAAAATGTTGCTAGTCCAGTGAATTTGTTGTATGATTGTTAGATAGTGGCACTAAAGTAATAAAATATGGATGAATATATACATATTTTTAGCATTTGAAAACTTATGAGAAGTCCTTGAGCTAGAGCCCGTGTAATAACACTGAGTGGTAGAATTTAGGGGCTTGGGGGGGAATTTAGAATTTAGAAGGAAATCTAGTGGCAGAATTTAGAAGTTACAGTGCACCAGGTAGCAAAAAGGCTTTTTCTGTCCCTATTTATGAATTACTTGGGTGGAAAAATTTTTGCCATGCCAGTTGTAAGAAAATGCTAAATTAAAGAATATTAAAAACTAGTAAAGGAATAAAGGAGTAGAATGACATTGAATGGAGAAATCTACCTTGAATTAACCTAATTTTTTAACTGGTCATAAGGACTATGAATTTGATTTTGTGGCATGTAAAATAAATAAATGAATAAATAAATAAAAAAAAAGCAGACACTTTATATCTCAGTGAATATTTGTCATAGAAGTGAAATTTTTTTTAAACTAAATATAACTATACTGATCATGAGTGTATGAAAAGTTAAATTTTGTAATTTTTGGAAATTTAAAAATGTCAAATGATGTATGCTTATGTCGTGTAAAATATTTTTGTAAATGGAAGTACATGTCTATTATTGTGAAAATAAAGGTTTCATGTATGGGCTCAGTGTGGTGTAGGTGATAACTATATATATCTATTTGGCAATAATGATGTGCAACATTATGTCTGGTTACTGAAAATTTCTTTTCTTTTGATCGTTGAAGGTATCACATGTGTGAATTGAAGTGGTATAAAAATAAAGCTGGAAATTATTCTTTTTATGGAAAGGGAGAGGTGAAAATTCAGGATTCCCTCATTAATATAAAAACTGTGCTGTACTTTCTGTATTTGAGGATTGTAACAGAAATATAGAGTTTACTGATGTGTAATGTGTGTTTTATTATGTAGAATATGGAAATGTACGAGGTTTATTTAAACATGAAATGACTTTTGCTTGTATCTTATTTGATAGTCTGTCGTATCATTATCATAGGGTCTAAGATAATCCTGTGCTGCATGTCATGTGAGAAGAAAGTGGCAGTAAATCATTTAATCGTAAATTTGAGTTTTTTTTTCCTGTTCAAAAGAAAAGTTTTGACATAAATTAATGAATTTTTATGCCTTTTTAATTCTTCTGTGTGGTAGTATTATTTTAGGTATTTGAAAACTTTTATTTTATTAATTAAGAGCATTTCATATGATAATGTATAGTGATGTTATGATATTTTTTAGTTGTCTGGAACTTCATATCATTTTACCATGAACTATGAATTTAGTTACTGATTTGTTTAAATTATGTTCCAGTGTTATTAGTACTATATGCTTATTTGTATTTATCTATAATGCTTAACAGCCTCTTCATCTGCAGTTGGCAATTCATACCTGTTACAAGAAATGGAAAATCTTGATATTCGTAATAACAAGTTTTCACCTAGTAGCAAAAGTGTCAGAACACCTCTTCTTCCTACACCTGGATTCAATACTGGACCTAATGGTTAGTGAATAAATTATTCTTTTACATGATGACTCTTTAATAACTATTTTGTAGTCTTCATTCAGAACATTTGCAGTAGTTTAGCTAAAGTAGTTTGTTGTATAAAAAGTCACCTTGTTAGACTTTGTAAATCCTGTATGTGAACTACAGGATATACAAGAAAAATGTATTTAAATAACAGTTTGGCATATCTGAAAAAGCATATTTTTGTTAGAATTTTGAAATTGTTCTTTATGAAAGTTGTTGTATATTGTCTGTTTATTTCTCACATACATGCCTATACCTATCAAAGCATTAAAACCATGTCTGCATTATGCATTTGCTTCTAATGCACGGCACATAGCAGAATTGTGAGTAACAAGCAGTCAAGTGTAATCATCTGGGAAGGAAAAACAAGGACAGTAGCATAAAGTTTTGCACAACGAAGGAAACCTACCACAACCGTAAAACTGTAAATAGTTGGAATACAGGCAGGTATGCTAATGATCCAAGTCTGAGACTGTTGCATATGATCATAAACCTTGCAGTGGTACTCTAGCCACAAACTTGCAGCTGTATTTATGTATGCCTGTTTTTGTAATTGATGCCTGATACACAAAAATCAGCTTCAGGTGCAAGAGTAGAATTGCCAGTAGATGGCAGATGCAATGATTTATCCCATTTTTGAATTTCACGAGTGCTAATATCATTGAGATTAAAATCATAAAGGGTGTCAGTGCTCTTTGTATCATTCTGACTGTTCTATCCAATGTCACTCTAAACTGTAGGCATCCTTGAAACACACTGGTGGTCTGAAAGATCAGCAGTACCAATTATAAAGAACATTTGAAGGGACTAGGTACACACAGATCCGTGGTGATATATATTCAGCATATAGGATTCCATTCTACAGGATACATTGTAGCTGCGATGTGCCTCAAACCATTTTCAGATGCTGCTCAGAGGTCAGGTGTGATCCAGGCATCTTTTAGGTGTGCTGCCTTTAACATTAGAATAGCAATTTTTGACACTGGAATATTATTTTGAGAACAGATGCTCTTCATATTGTGGATGTAGGGCCACGGATTTATAGCACAGTATGAATCTCCTTATCAAATTACTCACTTTCACTACTGCTAGTTTTACTTATCTGTTATAATAGTAGTATGTGGAACAGTTATGATACAATTCTATGTATATGACGGCCTGTGTACTCGTATTCCATTAGGATAAAGCTGAGTTTCACACGGCTGAGGTTGCCCACCACTGCTGTATCATATTCTAGTACTTTTGCAGTTATATCCCATGTTCACCACCTGAAAGATGGAGGAAAATATTGGGTATGGCTTTGCTGCGGTGTCTGAGATTAGTAGCATGTGCTCATTTGCTCCAGGAAAACTTCAGGTGTCTGTTCAACTTCATGACTTACTGAATTGCAGCAGTATTACATTACAAGATGGGGCAGCACATTATTCATCCTGATCAAACTGTGCACCATTATTCCATCTGTAATTATTTTGCTGTTTCATGTTTAGAATCATATTTATTTTTCAACTTTGTCATTATGTCAATGAAATATCATTTCAAGGCAACAGTTCTTTCATTGTGTGCTAAATTTATTACATGTGAATATATATATATATCATGTCCAGCCATCCAGATGGGAAAGTGGTTAGTGCTTCTCACTGCTGTTCTGAAGGGCCCATATTCAAATCCTAAAGAAGGCATAGGGGTAAATTTTCTCTCCTTTCAGAGGAGGCAGTGGTGGCCCACCTGCTATGTGCCTCCATAATAAAGTGACCACCATTTGCGGCCTTAGCTGTGGCTACTATCTGTAATGACTAGTGGCCACAATTTAGAAAAAATAGGATGTCTAAAAATCACTATGTTGCCTGTACTTTTGCAGCTGTTGGTTATAGACATACACTTCCAGTTTCAACACTATTAATGTGATAGATATTTTTGTGCTACGTGCATTGTTTCTAATAATAAAAAAGATATTCAGAAGTTTATAGGTCCAAATAGAAAATATTCATCCTGAAATTTTCTCAAGGAAATTTGTGGTGATTGTAAAGAAAACGTATGGAAAGAAATCTTAGTTATTTTGCTCCTTCCCAGTTAAAGTAACCCAAAAAGTAATCCATGCAACAATCATTACTAGGGAAAATTATAATGTTTAATGAAGTTATGATGTGGAGAACTGCAGAATGCTATACTTTATTTATTTTTGAAGGAAGAGCAATACTGGAAATATAGAAAAGTGCAGTTTGATGATTTTCTGTTTGTGTTGAAAAAGATCGTTGTCTTAGCATCAGAACTCGCAACATCTTGTTGCATAACACTATGGATGCATTTCTCATCTGATAGTTATCACTTCCTCTTCTCGCCTTGAATAGCCTCCTTTGTTCTGCATTGGCATAAACTCAAATAAAAATATCTCCACACTTTTCATTTATGGAGGCACAGCATGCATATTGAACATGCTGACCAAAAAATTACGCTGATTACTTTTAAAGAATGTACTGTAGAAGTACTGAAATATTTAAAAAATCAACATAATTCTTACGGTTTGTTTGGCAGAAGGGGATAGAGTAATGTCTGAAATTATAAAACAAAATCAGATTTATAGGTGCTTTGGAGCATTTGTTGCAAGTTTTTGTAAGTAAATAAAATATAAGCCTTATATTATGAGTAACTTCATCTATAAATGTTTTTGCAAGATTGACAAAAACTGTAAAGGAATTTTTGCTTTATAAATGCAAGAGGTCTTGAAATATGAATAATGCCCATGAACTTTGTGCATTGTGTGGTTAAATTGAGGTAATGGTTCTCTGTCACTTACTACAGGGTTGTGGTTAATTATATTTTGTTTCCAGGCTTTGCTGGCATGCTTCACTCATGTAATCAAGATCTATATCAGCATAACTTGTTCGTTGGCATAGAATATTGACCATGTGTGTGCCTATGAATTTTTTTTAAAAAAAATTTGTTGATGTGTGAAGATTTTTCTTTACTTATTATAATGCATTAATATTCTGTATGAAGGGCAATGTTGAAAAGGAAGGTGGTAAGATGATGATTCCAATGGAAATTACGAAGCAAATCACTGAGGAGTACAAGGAACAAATGCAAGTGGCATACATTGCAAGATTTTATAAAATATTTGCATCAATGGCATAATATTCGTAAAGAACTCTTAAGTAGCAGCCATATATGAGGGATGGCACTACTAACTTTTGCCCTTTCATCTTATTGGGGAGAGGAGCATTTGAGACTGAGCCCCAACAATACATCTCTTGTATCCGTAGGTAAAGAATTGAACTCGTCTCACTGTGTGTGCACAGTACTGGCTGAGTTTCCTGCAAACTAATATGCACTTTACTAATGTGGATACCAGCCTCTTTGATTATTTCGAGTGACTCACATCTGACATTTAATTTTGTTATCTGTACATATGTGCTAAACCAATATATGTTCCAATATAATCAAAGTAGTGGATGTATAGTTAAATGAAAAGCAGCTAACAGATGATTCTGTTACCAAAAACATTATATGTTAGAAGGCCTTATTTGCTGAATTAGTGAGTAAACTACCACATATATCAACAAGAAGGCTTCAAGGTGTGTTGAAGAAAATTAGGTAACTTTAAAGGGAGAAAGAGTAGTGAGGCACATTAAATGTTGCAAGTTCAAAACTAAAGCTGCTGAGTTCCAGCGTTTGGTTTTTGAGTGTTATTTGCTGCAGCAAGTGGACTGCAATGAAACAGGGCCTCTGAGAAAAATATGCTAAAGAGAATCTATATTACAACAAAAGAAATATAATTTACAGCTGCTAGCCCATGGAAGACCATCTCATAACTTATTTATGTGTAAGTCTTCTGTGGTTGTGTGAAGTTATTGGTTAGTTTTGACAATCTGCTTTTTTTTGTAAAGCTGCTAATTGTCAGCAATAGTATAGGAAATTAAACTTTGTAACCAAATGAAATAAGTTCATAATATTATCTCTGAATATACCATTTTTTTAATATGTTTCCGAATTTGAATGCATGCATATCCTTTTGCAATGTCATATTTTTCTTATGATTATGTCCCATTTCATGTAAAAACTATAATTAATTAAAGGTATCTATAGTAGTGTCTATTGATATCAGTCTTCAGAATTCTACATTTAGTAAGAACTCCTAATGGTGTTTTGATTTTTCATGCACAGTTTCTAATTTAAGTTCGGAATTGTTAACTAAATATATTCTGGAAATTTTGATTATGATATATTGATATAATTTTGTTGGTGTGTCTGTTCAAGTGTCTTGCTTTCAATGGTTTTTGATAACTGTCGTTGCAGTTGATTTTAAGTCCAAATCAAATGTAATCTTTAGTGTGTTGAAAGATTTTAGTATTTCAAGTTATTTTTTAAAAGCAGATATGTGGCTGAATGTAAATCAAAATTTCTTCAGCTGCAGAAATGCAAATCATAAAAGAGAAGCCTGGGACCAGGTGATTATACTGAGAGGAAGGAAGTTAAGCCATGGGTACCATCTATTGATGAAAAATGAAAGCAACTATGAAATAAAATCTTTAAAAGTATGAGTAAAGATGGGATGGAATTGGGATCACTAGTTGAATTGGAAGATTTTATGAATGTGAAATGACTCTAGAAAATCTAATTCACCAAGAAAAATATTTTTTTGGAATAATTTTGACTGCAGAAAAATGGAAAATATGATTTTCCGGTGTCTGGCAAAAGAGCATATATGTTTTTTTCCTAACAAATGCCTCATGTTCCTTAGTGTAAAATTTTCAAGCACGTTTTTAGCTTGACCAGTAAAAATTAACCACATTGGCAAGGAATCCAGTGTATACCCCAGGAATTCATATTCAGAATGGGTATGGAACAATGAATTTTATTGATGGAAGAGAAAACATCTTGAAAGTTGAGTTTCTGTGAAATACGGTGCAGTTTTATATCTAATGGATGTAAAGAAAGGAATCACAGCAGACTTTTTATAATTTGTTAAAGTGAGA